ATAATGGCAACTATTTTGATTAAATAAATTTGTTAAAAATTTAAAAATAAACAATTTAATTTTCAGTACAAATCGGCAATTTCATACTTTAACCCCTATTATTTATACTGACTGAACAACATTTTTCTAGTAGAAAGTGGAAGGCTGTATCTCTGTTCTCTAGCATCCTTCAATAAAGCATCTACTTTTTATTCCCATAGCTCTCATAATGATCTGGTATTACAATAGTAGATTCTGGTTGGTTGTTTCTAACTCTTTTATTTGGAGACTCAGTGGGAAGATCTTGTGCCTTTGAATGGGCCTGGGAACATATGGACAACAGCTCTGTCAGCAACTACCCAACAAGTATGACATTACGCGACTTGCAACAAACATACATTATGATTTAAGTATTTAGAAATTCTAATTTGGCTTACAGTAAAAGTAGTTATAAAAAACTTACCGTTACCTTACCTGATTTGATTTACCGTTTAAGGTAAAATCCATTCTTTTAAAACATTATAAATTCTCAATTCACGATTTGAGTCCATGTTGAGAAGACTTTTGTGTGGTTGTGGCTTACTTATGACGCAAGAGAACTCCCACAGGAGAGACAAAAGTGTTTGTAGTGACAGTGGCAAAAGTGTTTGTAGCCAAATTATCTCGGTGCATCAACAGGTGGTCTTCGACGCAGGTCCCAGTAAGCTTGGCAATCATGGTCACTGCTGTTCACCTAAACGATGGTAAAAGCTTTAATGTCAATAAATCATGATCACTGTACTATACTGCCGGTTTAGGTATTTGATTAAATGTAAACAATATTTATGAACCTTATAAATGTTTAAGCATCCGTTATTTGTAAGAGTAGCGGTAAAGAAAAACGTAGTAAGGAAACCTGTAGGCCAGAGTGGTGGACACTGGTTAGCTAACAGATAGGAGGTGAGTACTTACAGATTGTGGTGCAAGCCATCGACGAATCAATGACAGTATCATTTTGTGTGTTGTTTTGTCATCTAAGACTTGTGGACCTAGTACTAGTCGCTGTACCACAATTCAAACAGCGACGCATGGTTTTCATATCCAATCGATAGCCGGCAGTCAAATTCAAAATAACAAATCAAACAAATAGGCGAGAATCTCCATGTCCGGTGTGATAACAAGGTTCGTACACAATAAAGAACATCAGAAATTTGTAGAAAGCCGTGGTAGAGGAATAAAGTGATGGAGAACATTCAAAATGCGCACAGATTCAGAAAATGATACGAAATAAGTACGAAACGAGAGATCGATAATTCAATAGCTATCACTATCAGCACAGACTTAAAATACTGTACCGATTAAAGAAATCGACTTTAATGAATCGATCAGTAAATGAGAATCGATGTTAATATTTTATTTTTGTTATGTAATGTATGTATGTATAATTATTTTGATTTAAATAATCAACTAGTGCTAATTTTATTTTTCAATTCTATTTTTAATTACTTGAACCCATTAACATTAATCGATTATAATTTAATCGATATTTTATTATGTTTGTTATCTCAGTTAACTTAGCTTTCTAATTTTCCAGATTGAGGATTATGTTGATTTTTATAAATTTTGAAATAGAAAAATAAAACCCTTTTTTTAAACTACACCTCAACTTATTACATTTTGGCCCAGATTGCCCCGTCTCTTTTCATAATTGGTAATTCTTAAAAGATCTCGAAAGTCTTGTCCTTTAGGTTTATAAAAAAAAATCATTCTGCCGTAAAATTAATATATATTAGAAAAACTTCAATTGCTACTAATGCCTACATAAAATATTGATTATTCTATTTAAATAAAAATAATAATAGTAATATGAAAATGTCCGCAAAATCATTCCCCTATGTCCCAAGTTCCATAATCAAACACGTTCTGTGCTTTAAATCGACTGTATTTTAAACATTCTATCAAATAAAGTATGTATTTTGTCCACAACAAGTGAACTTATGAATGCTATGTTGTTGTACGTTGGATGTTTCAAATTATACAAACATGTATTGACTGGTATAATATTCTTTAGTCTAAATTAAAGAACTTCTTAGGCAAACCAAAGGACTTGTCTTTCTCCGCTGCTATATAGGTTGCAAGTATCTAGTGGTAGATTGCCAGCAAACATTTGTTTATAGAATGGAGCGCGTCGCGAGCGTGTTCAGTTCATGTATTGTTATTATAACCCTTTGCTCTGGTTGGTTGGAACGTTACAATTTATAACAATATATTGAAAATGTGTATCATTTACTAATACGTTGACCGATGTTTACAACAATCGAACACAAAGAACGAATATGCAACTTTATATTGACAATTAGTCACAACTTTTATATCTGCCACAGCCGGTGTCGCGAGTCGAGCCTCGCGTGTTACGGGTCGTATGTCGTGGGTTGCCATTCGCGAGTTGCGTGTCGCGAGCAACCAAACAGCGTGTAAAGACACTTCTCCTATATACACTGGTTCTGTATCCAAAAACAACAATGACCACTTATGATTTGTACTATAACTCATCCAAAATCATCATTTCTTTGATATCTATATTAGTTTCCTGAGATATTCAACTATATATACTTTTTTTTATTCGGTTCACAAAACTGGATGCACTTCAGATATAAGCTACAAGTATTTCATTTATATAGTGACACGATAAGAACGTATCCTACTTAATGTGAACACAACATGCAAAACAGGCCAAAATAACTGAATAAGTATCAAAATATTAAATAAGTGACATTAACTCTAAATTTCAAGTATTTTAAGAAAACCCAACAAAGTCAGTCGTGTAGTTAACATAATATACACTTCCTAATTGAGTTCCTAGCTGAGACAACAGAACCAGAGAAAATATCGAAATCAAAACGGATAACATTGTAAGAAGAACACATGCGATTCAGTGGACAGTGTTGACCGAGGTTAGTTCTACAAATAGGGAGCGAAAATGTTTTAACATTTTTGCAGGCGACTGCCAGGACGGGAGACGGAGAAACGTAAACGATGCAGAATGTCAGGTGCAGATAGCTGCATGTATTATAGAATACCATGAATAAATTTGAATAAAAACATTACACCATGAGCTTTACGGCGGTTTTGCATTGAGAACATGTTAAAGTGAGAGAGACGTGACTCGTACGAGAACAGCTGTTTACATTTAAAATTATTGTATGTTAATTCGATAGAGGAAACGTTTTTGAATACTTTTAATTCTATTTGAATGAACCTGGCAACTTGGGTTCCAGACAGTAGAGCAATATTCTACAATACTGCGAATTAAACTGTTATGAATTAAAATAGATACAGTTGGCTCGTTAAAAATTTTCATTTGTCTTGATACAAAACAGGTTAGCCTAGAAGCTTTGCTAATGATTGAGTCAATATGCTTATTAAATCTTAGTGTAGCGTCTATGATGACACCCAGATCTCGAATACTGATGACCTCTGTTAAGGGTGCATTGACTATAAAATAAGTCACAGGTAAAGGCTACAAATAATAAATAATATTTATTAGTACAGAAAAAATAGTAATGCAACATAATAATGAAATTACATCCCACGTTTACTTATGTATAAACCAATAATGATGAATGAAAAAAATATATATTTAATTACAATGCCATAATGTACACAAATAATGTTATGACTAATACGAATGGAAAGAAATGTAGCTTGCCTAGTCAGTACATGATAAAAATATAATTGTGACTTCAACACCAGGCACTTAATAAATAGTTGAAATTAATCGTACATTAAGTGGGGTCACAGTTTTATTTTCATAAAACTATTGCATATTCGTGGTCGAACGTAAGAGTTTTCTCCTAAAATAATGTGATATGATCAACCATGGGGTTTTCTTTAAAAGTTAGAAATTAATTAATTTATTTTGCTAATAAGCTGTGTAATAATATAATATTATTAATTATCTTTGTTTGTAAGTCTTTTAATAAAAAGTATTTATTACGATTTTATGTATAATATAAGGGCAAACAAACCTGCCTACATAAGAAGACGGATTATAAAAAAAAATAGCTCTGCTTTATTATACTACACATGATTTGCCGCTCTCAATCTGATGAGTTTAGGAAGGCTGCTTGTTGAAGACGAAAGTTGTTATTGGCATGACATCATTTTGCAAGAAGGATGCTCCTTGTCTTCGTACTCTGCTCGATTTGAACCAAGGCGTAGCGAGCGTACGTTTCCCTTTAAAGACTTTTAAATTCGCTTTTTTGTCTGTTTGTGTGCTCGCTCAGGCGCTTAGTGATAGGTACACGTGTGTTGTAAGTATTCGTTAACCTAGAGGTTCTATGCACAACAACCAGCGGTTAAATCGCGTCCTAAAGATTGCTCGGCGTACGCGAATAGTAAGCAAACGTTCTATTACAACCGACACACGCGTTTGTAAAAAGTATTTGGCATTACAGTACCGAGAGCAAGCAGCACACCCGCGTAGCGATTTAATAGCTGGATGTATTATCCCCTAAATAGATTGTCACAGTTCAGAACACCAACAAATTTTTTGTTACGTATACTCGTTTACCCATACCCGACTTTTTTATAATAGTATTGGCATTATTCTACTGTTGTTGCATTATTTATTAGATATGTTGAATATCATATTTTGGCTTATTTTTACTCTTTTTAGTTACTTAAAAATGGTGTGGAAATTTCACACCGAGCAATAACACAAACGCACGCAGACAGCATACATTTTAGTTTGGCGAAATGTCATTAATGTATTGCGTGGAAGTAGGTGTACACTGCATTGGAAGCGGCACTTTAAAGTACAATGTGTTGCAGGCGGGGGCGGCGGAGCGGGGGGCGGGCGTGAAGCGTCCTCGGAAGGATCACTTGCGGAGGCCACGCCCGACACGGATGAAAGCGCGGGAGAACCGCGGCAGCACCGCTCCAAACGTCGCCATCACGCAGCGCCGCAGCCGCAACCACAGCCACAACCGCTTCACCCGCAGCAGGTAAACGTTATGTTGTATGTAATACACCATGTTGTACAAAGCTGCGAGACGAAAGGAAGAAGTGTGCAGCGTATCAAAGGCGTAGAAATTGATTATCATTAAAATTTTACTTTAAAATCGTTACTACATTATACACAAATAATTTCTTTTTATCGGACTTTGTGGTAGAGCGTAGCAAGGGATACAATAAATACGCCTGAGATATAAAGTACCGCTGAGTGAAGTACACTATACATTCTCCCACACGAAAAAATAGACAAATGCTATTAAGGACGCCACCGCTCGACTAGCCCGCCAGTTCTATTTTAAAATGACTTCACACACCACACTACAGTTGTGTAAGTAAGTGAAATTAATAATATTTTATTATTCAGGGTGTGCAAGTGGCGGCTCTAGAAGTACAAAACGTGAAGCGCGCCATCAACCGGTACGGCACGCTGCCAAAGGGCGCGCGCATCGGCGCGTACCTCGAGTCGCTGAGGCAGAGCGGTGGCGGCGGCAGCGGAGGCGCGGCGCGCGAGCCTCCGTCCCCCGCCGCCGCCGCCGCCGCGATGCCCGCGCATGATGAAGCGCGATCGCTGTCGCCGCGGACAGCGCGCGCACAGCCGCACATGATTCGTTCTAACTCGTCGAGCGGTGTGACCGCAACGCCCGCGTCGCCGCGATCTGTTCGCGCACATGCGCCGTTACGCTCTTTCGCCGGTAGTCCCGCCAAACCCCGGCCTCGCCTCGCCGAGCTCGAGTTTCCGCCGCCGCCTCCCGATCTCCCGCCGCCGCCGGAGGACACGCAGCAACCACCGCCACCACCTCCTGACCGCTGCCGTGATGCTGGCACCGACACGGCCGAGGAGCCACCGCCGCCCCTCGATGATAAACCTCTCAAACAAATTATGAAGGAAATGCTCGAACTAAAGTTAGTTGCCGAAATCAAGGAACGCGCCGACAAGAAAAACAAGGTAAGAGATTCACCGCCTGCGCAACACGAGCCTGTTGAAGGGTCGAGCGCGTTTGGAGATCCGGTGACTCGGCTCGTGAGCGAGCTATCGGAGAGCCTTAACTTGGAGGGCGCGCGCGGCCTGCGGCGGGCGCAGGACGACGCGCTCTCGCCCGCCGATCTTAAGGCCGGCCTACGAAAGACTGGCTATACTAAACTCGACACGGACTCAAAGACGTCTACTGATTTCAAAGCCCAATTAAAGAAAGTTGACTCAAATAAAATTAATAGTATTAGAGATGAGGATGTCGGGCGAATCATAGATTTCAAATCGCGTTTACGAAAAGTTGACAGTGGAGCTCCTGCAACCAATGGTACAATAAAAAAAGAACTCGCTTCCCCAGACGAGAAGGGTACTAAGAAAGATAATAAAAGCGACGACTCGGATCGCAAACCACAGGGCAGTTCATTAGACGCGAATGGAGACGAAGAAGATAAGCGAAGGAGTACAGGCAGTATCAGCAGTTTGAAGAAGCTATGGGAAAACAAGGAGAGCGATGAGCGCTTGAGCCCCAAGTTGAAGCCACGCGGCGAAGAAAGCGCGGAGACTTCACCCGAGGAGCGCACTGCGCGGCGCGATGAACGGCGCGATGAGCGGCCCGCCGTGCCTAGCAAACCCGCGGTAAAGGCCAAACCGATGGGCAAGGGCGGCATCTATGCCACCCCTCTCGCACCACTCGCGCCGCTAGCCGGCGACGATGCCGAAGATGCGCTGGCCGAGCTACGTGCCTCCCTCGAGTGGTGCACCAATGAGGTGAGTCCACATTTTACACAAACAAGTTTGGTAACTTGTTTCACGTGCTAACTTTTTGTTTTAATTCCAACTCTGATATCTTAAGGGTCCCTAATTGTGCACAGCCCTGTTACTTAGGTCGCTAATTTTATATATTGAAACTTTAATATGTTACTACTAACAAATGAATAAATAAAGTTAATTCAACGAAATGAAAACTTCGGAACGTACCTGTCCTTCACTTGAGAACTACTATTGAAGGAAAGGAATTGTAAAAAAGTTATGGATATATACAGGTATAACAAAATAAACGAGTAACGGCTATGAAACGATCAGTTCGACTGAGTTTTGGTCAGGAGTGTTTCCGAAAATTGTTTATCATATTAAGGAACTCTGCTTATGTTATGTTTTGAACGTAGTATTAAATATGATTGTTTATTTTATGAATAAATCAATCATTTTGATAAGATCGCACTCTGGAATCGATACCATCACTAAACGAAATAGTCAACTTTTGGTCAATGGTCCTATAGTTTGTAAAATAATTTGTTCGCAATTTATATCCTTTCGCACTTTTAATATTTTTAGAACATTTAATGCATTCTATAGCAAATTATACAAATTGTAGGCTCCTGTACATTTATACGCAAAGCATATACTTACTGTACGTGTTTTGCTTTTACGTCTAAATTAGAAAAAGCGACAGTTCGTTTGGTGACGGTGTCGTTTGCACCATACGTTATACGTTTAAAGGCCGGCCGCGTGACGTTAACATGTTGCAGGTGGTGCGCGGGTCTGGGCGTGGGTCGCTATGGCGATTGCAGACGTCTGAGCGGCTCGCGCGGTTAGGCGCTCAGTGTTTTGGACTGGCGGGAGGAGCGCGCGTGGCGCCGCAGCGGCGCGTGCAGCTGCGCGCTGCTGCGCGCCGACTCGAAGCCGAGGCGCGTGCGCTAGCCTCCGCGCATTCCGCGCATCATTCGCCCTCGCCGCTCTCCATCGAGCAGGCGCTGCAAGAGCTCGCCGACATCGTCGCCAGGTGCGTACTGCGTACTCTACCACCACACCGTTACTTCTTTCATCTACCAATATACCTTTATAACGTCCGACAATTCTCACAGACTAAATAAACTTACAACGGTCTGTTCCTTCTGTCTCAAACAAGTGTCTTGGCTTTAATGATAGAAATACGTGGTTCATATTTAACACTCGTAAGGATAACAACGAAAATGTATTTATTTCCATTTAAAAACATTTTCGAACAGAACACGTCATACATATTTTTTGTCCTGTTTCTTTAATTGTTTAAAATATCTTATCAAAAAAGAAAATAAAGCCAGATCGTTATGCTAATAACGAAAGCATTTTGAACAACTTGGTAGAATTTAATCGATCTTGCTTGAATTTTAAATAGCTGGGGGAAATGGAACAGATCTCAAGTAATTATATATGTATATACAGCTACAAGTTTAGACTCGCTTAGAAAAATAGAACGCATACTTCCCGATATGGTGGAAAAAGATATTTATACCGTTACACGCCGATAGGCTCCAAGGCAAAGAATCAAATTTGAAAAGACATGAATGTGGAAAATGGAAACGAGTGATCAACGGCCTGCAAATACTATTTAAGAATTTTTGTGCATTTTTATGAAATAGAACCTGGTCAATTTCCGCGGGAAGTAAAAAATGTTCGAAATTCAAATCACTCCTATCACGGATACTATTAGAGATAGTGCTCGAAGGAATATCATAGAGGGTAACCTGGTCAACTGCCTGTGTTAAAAAAATTCAAGAGGGCGATTACAAAATGGCGACCGAAGAAAAACTTGCTTCGATCCGGCTGAAAATTGGCATGCAAGGTTCTTTAGGAATCCTTAATTTCGGGTCAAAAATTTCTTTTCGCCATTTTTTTATTTGGCTGCTATATACGTGTTTTTTCGTTAAAAATAGCTGCCGAAAGAGATTTGATCTGATTCGACTGAAAATTGGCATGCGAAGGGCACTAGAAATGCCGGATAATAATTTGTGCTCAAAAATTTGTTTTTCGCCATTTTCAAATATGGCCGTCATAGAAACGTTCGTTGGCGGCAGTAAAAAAAATTGCTCAGATACCTTTGAAAATTGGCATAGGGTCTCTAGGAGTGCTTGATAATAATTTGTGATCAAAATTGGTTTTTCGCCATTTTTCAATATGGCTGCCATAGAAGTGTTTTTGGCGGCACATGGAAATTGGTTCTATTTCAGCTGAAAATCGGCATGTAGGGATCTCTGCGGGTGTTTAATAATAATTTGCAGTCAAAATTTACTTTTTGCCATTTATCAATATGGCCGCCATTAAAGAGCTACGTTAATTTTTTTAAAGTCATAAGTGCTGTGGCCGTAGTCCGAGGCGTAGCTGAGGGCGAAGCCCGAAGCGTCTGCACGCCATCTTACGTAGGTAGTATATACGGGAACTGAATTTCACAATTGTTCAAAATGTAAGGCGTACTTCCCGATGTAGTGGAAATAATATCTTTATACAACTTATAGCGTTGTTGTATCTCGACCGTCTCTCTGTTAGATTCTTTTTTATTGGAAGCTATGCCAAAAAGAGAAGTATTTAGAGAAAAAATGCCAGACAATCACTTAAAATTTCTGGTCTCAAACTAGGGAATTTCCTGTACTATGAGTACCAGAGTAACGATAATTCTGAAGGCAATACCCAGAATAGCCTAACCAGGACCAACTTAAAAATGTTTTTTTCATAAATTGGCTCAAATAAGAATCTGGAACCTCCTCATCAAGCGCCCTTTGTACTAATCACTGTGCCACCGAAGAGCATAAGCACACCCCGTAATCTGAAAGCGACTTAGAATTGGGGTATAGAACTCGTATTCTATATAATTTGGCCAACTAGAGACATAATAATTCTGAAATACTTGAATCTGTCCGGTGTTAAACCCTGGGGTTTCCCTCTGCAAATTAGATCACCTAAACAGCATTTTTAGTAAAGAACAACTTATTCAATACGCGCTGCTGTTGAAAATCAAGTAAAAACATTTGGAAATTAAAGGTTTTTACTTATAGGAAATGAAACTATTTTTCCGGATTTAAATCGCGTATATTTATTTATTCAAACAAACCGACGTTTCGGGCCCTTTACAGGTCCCATGGTCACGGTTGACTGTCAAAATATGTGTAACAATCGCGAAAACCTAAGAACTCGATAATGTATTTACTTCATTTTCAAAAGCAGCGCGATGAATCGGTGAATGGCTGGTGCTGGTTTGTATAGGAAGTGAAAATATTTTTGGCAGAACTTTTGAAAGTGAAAAGATTTTCATTGGAATGTTGTCTTATATCTGGAGAAGCCCCCAAAGTGATTGAAGTACAACTACCTCATAAAGAGTAAAGTACAACTACCTCATAAGGAAATGTGTTCCAGGTAAACCGCGCGTGCCGCCGGCCTTCGAGCCTGCTTCCGAAACACAATGCAGTTGTACTGCGAAAATGATACTATTTATTTAAAATTTAAAATTACCGCTGCGCCATTTCATGACATTATATTATGTAGAATTAGTGAACATAAAATTGGTGCATGGTTCAATTGACAAAGCGGTAGCAATGCAACCGCCGCGAAAATATGTAAACAAAATGCGTAAACATTGAATATTTTATACATTCTTCCAGTAACTCTGTTATGTACGAATTAGAATAATATTTATTATGTTGTGTGCCAAATAACGCGAGTAAAGCGTTTTAACATTCCTCTATTGAATCGTCATCGCCGACCGCTCCGCGCTTGCGGCAGAGCGCACTTTCCTTTCTAATGCCGTTTAGCATTTACTTTGAATTTATTTTGGTACATAATGTACTCATATTGCGAAACTTACTAAAACCCGACTTGTTCCTCGTTCCGGAATCACAACGATCCGATTCCATCTCGTACACTTGTGCTACATGCTACGCAAAATGCAAAACAAAAAACAATTTGTATCAAACTATTCGTTAATAAGGCGTTATGTACGTAACGAAAATATATAGCTATTTAAAAGTTTCATCCTTTCTAAACAACTTCATAAACTTAAAAAGTTATGTTACTATTTTTAGTTAACACGATTTCTATCAATCCGTATACTTCTCCCATAAAATTCTTAATAGCATTCAAAGAAATCGTTTTTATTACTCAGGTAACAAATTGATTTGAATATGTAAAGTAATTTACTTCCTTTTTAATTAACATGGATTTCCGTAAAATAACGCCTCGATTCATAGACCTACCAACAAATGGACATCGGTCTAATACAAAAACCACGAAAAAAATGTCTGAGGTTAAACTATACAAACGTAGTGACGTGTAACGAAATATGAAAAAGTAAAACATTTAATTAAAATTGTAAACGTCATTGCAGTACTGTCTAAATTTGCTTACAACAATTTAAAGGCCCGAAAACACCATATTCAGCTTCTACTGGAAACTTAACAAAATACACCATATTTAGCTTCGACTGAAAATTACTTGAACACAGGAGTAATGGAATAGCCTTTCTCGTAAATATTAATTAATTTTTGTATATATATTATTATTTCGAATTTTGCACAAATTTACTTACAAATACTACTACAAATGTGAAAATAAGCGTGTACTATAAGAAATGTACCGATATTCTAGCAAAAAGTAAACTCAAATATCCGTAATTCCGATTTATAACAAAACCGTTACGCTTTCGAGTAATTTTGATGCTTTTTACATAGACAAAATTAGCTTTTGTTTTGTAATCTTCGTAAAAACACATTATGAAAATTCGAGCTAATGTTATTTCGGGCAAATGTATTTTCTGACTTCTGATAGGTAATCCCAAGCCGTAAAACGAGTACAACAATATTTTGTTAGTTATTGCTAACGTTTAATAAAAAAATCATTTTAAAAATGGGATTAAAATCAAAGCAACTCTACAGTTTCTTTGTTCTAAATATTTCAATCGCTTGTGGTTCGAACAATTGAAAATGACCAAGAAGTTTATATAAGCTTCTTAAAACTGACGTAATGGGTCTCTTTCCACCTTTTGCGCATGCAATGAGTAGAAAAAGGACAGTTAGCTATTTCATTATTTCGTGTGCTTTTGTAATTTATATTTATGATTCAGTTATATATAAATTAAATACTATAAAACTGTACAAAATAATACTTTTAAATGACAACTATGATAACACAATATATTTGTTTAGTGAAAATATGATACAAAATTCTGTTTTCACACTTTACTGCAGTAATTTTTATAAGTTATTATTATTGGTACTGCATGATTGACGTGTGAGTGCGGACATTTTTAGCGCGAACCCGACGTCCATTTATTGGTAGGTCAATGCCTGCATCTATAAATTATTGGGGTGCGTACAGAACTGGCGAATGCGCCGCAAGTGCTATTTGCGGAAGGGTCGCGAGCTGCGCACGTGCGTTACACATACTCAAGGTGCGTACAGATCTAGCGAATGCGCCGCGAACGCGCTGAATGTGCGTTGCGCGCGCGCTGCTCGCACATTGCATGCGCGCTGCACGCGATCTGCATGGTGCAACTAAATACATTTTAATTAATATATGTGGGGCGCGAGTGGCGCTCCTAAATCCAAATATCTAATTATTTTTTCTGCAAAAGTTGGCACAAGTTAAGGATATTATTTTTAAGAGAAAGCAAAGTTTTTTGGCTTATAATATTTGTCAACTAGACGGATATTACTTTTATATTCGTTTTAATTATTTATTGTAAGCGTTATATCGAATGCTGTCAAGATTTTAGAAGACACCCCGATCCCATGTCAACTTTCCGGTTTCAGCTTAAAATGGCTGATTGTGATCTTATAAGGGTCCGTTTTATTCCTCTTAAGATACGGGAACCATTAAAACGGAATTAGTAATAAAATATAATAATAATAATATATATTTTTTCTTTGACTGGCTTGCTCATGAAAATATTCATTCTAAAAGCTCGGCTTCTCTCAGAGTTCCTATATACCGATAAAGTAATTGTGTGCCCTTCTTATCACTATGAAACAACATAGTGTCGTGTGAGCGAAACAAGTCTGAGTTTAGTAAGCGTCGTCGTCAGGGCAAGGTGTTTAGTTTGATATAAGTAGAGTTGAGTCGGACCAATGTAGTTACGCTGAGCGCGCGCAGTGAGGTGTGAGGGAGTTCACTTCATGACATTATTTTAAGTTAGCGTACTGTGATACGGTTTCGTGACGCGTTTATAGAAATTATGCTCAATATTTTTCATTTTTACATTTATTTTGTGCTATTCAAATTAAATAGTAGGTAGTTTATGAGAATGATATACATAATTACTGTATGACCGATCGGTAATAATTATGGAATAGATAACATACAATTTTTGTTAAAAGTTATTTAAGTATATCACTGATGTATGCTAGTCTCTATTATAATTTACTAAATGTATTTCGTTTTAAGACTAATGTAATGACATACGTAAGACCTAATAATAGATTCACGTACAGTCCTATACTATTTTGTATTTTTATCGTTAAGCATTTTGTATTAGCGGAAGAAGGGCGAGATTCATAGCCAGAATTCCTGATGAAAAATGTCTCACATTAACTGACCATTGCTCGAGGGAATATTATAGTATTTCTTAGCGATATATCTAAAACAGACGTAGGTTTATTACAATATGAAGGAAGCAGATTGCTAACGACTGCAGACGTATTCGACGCTTATAGTCCTAAAATTTGCCCCGCGTCTTGGCTTTTGGGACGAGACTAATATATATACAGGGAGTCCCACGGCTATGCCATATGGAGGGAAAGTACCTTAAATACGGTAGATAGAACAGACAGTTTTTTTGCAGAAAGAAGACTTCATTTTTATTTGCAAAGCAATTCGAACTGATTTCAAAGATTTTTAAATCATCGCCAGTCTGAACCAATCTGTAATTTTACTAAGCCTCAATCTTAAGGACTGTTTTATTTTTTTTATTAACATAGCATCTCACATAAAATAAATTAAATTTAACATTTAATTTGAAATTTTGTTCAAGAAAATGCCTTTTCTTTGACTTTGCCGCGCTTACTTATAACAACTGAAATTATCATTTCAAATTACTAAAGAGTACAAACCTTCAACTTATTATTTTAATTATTCACCATTAAAAGATAAATCGACAGCAAGCGAAATTATCAAAAGAGTGAGAATTTGTATAGTACAGAATGGGACGTATTTTTAGCATTTGATAACTTAAGTGGATTGTAAGTTGCAGTTAAATGTGCCTAATTATTATAATTAAATGTTAAATTTCATGGTCTTCCTTTTATTTAAGATGCAATGTTGTTAGTGTTGGCTTGTTTACCTTTAAAATTGGTAAATGTTTAAAATATTATACTCATTAATAATTTGAAATGATAATCTCAGTTGTTACGAGCGCGGCAAAAACAGAGAAAATGCATAAATTAAATTTAATGGTCTTCCTTAAAAGATGCTATGTTATTTAAAAGAAAACAATAACTATGATTTAGCCTTTCGATCAGTACAATAAAATTACAGGTATTTTTTTTCACATTTGGCGGGTTCGATTCCCGATCCAGACAGGCGATTCCTTAAAAACTTTCAATACAGTTCGAATTGTTTTTAAAATCAAAATGAAGTCTTCTTTCAGTAAAATGTTCTATCTTCGGTATTTAAGGTACTCTCCCTCCGTGTGGCATAGCCATGGGACACCCTGCATATATTATAGTCTCGTCCTAGATGCCAAGTAAGTAAATATAACTTTACTTATCTGGACTCAATATTAGTAGGAGAATTGACGTCAAAGTGTAGGAAGCCCCGCCGCTGCACCAACGGTGATGGGTTGGACTTGGCAGCGGCGCTTATCAGGACGCATCTATTGCCTTCAATGGGCTTTAAGACTTTGTTTTTTAAAATTTTCGGTATACATTTTCAAAGGCTTAATATAATTTATTATTTTACGTTATAGTTTAGTTTCCGTGAAGAACTTAGTTAATACCAGTGTCGAAGGATGTATATGTGATGGTGCCGATGTAGAAAGTAGGCAACAGTTGTTGCAATGCTTTTGTGTTCAATAACTACTAAAAGTTGGAGATAAAATTTCATAGCCAAGCTGATGGAAATAGAGTTTAAGACCCTTCGACACTAGTGACTGCCAGTGAGTATTATTATATCAGTCAATATTGTTTCGGAGTCCAACTACAGTCTTTTGGATTTCAGACGACTACAGGTACAAGATTATGTACAGTCAGCGTCAAAACCATCTGAACGGTTAAGCTAACCAACATTGTCCACATAATCATAATATCTGCATATTTGGCAAAAATGTACATTATATTAAATGTGCAGTTTTAGTTAAAATTTTAAGTAGCCCTTAAAACCATTGTTATAAGATCGCCTTTGGTCAATTTTGCTGATATTGTGAGATATGAGAACATACAGATAATATATATTGGGATGTGTTGATTTTTTGCTTAGTTTGATGATTCACTTAGTTTTGATACTGAGTTTGATACTACTGATCGGATGAGTGCGAAAGCCCTATATTCGTGTGGTGATCTCGTGGCTACACTTGTGCCTTGCAATCCGAAATGTATTAAAAGGAACAATCGTAGTCAGTCTTATAGAAAGTTCGGCGCGTAAAACGTTACCCGCGCCAAGGCCTCTAAAGCGTCACCCCTTCGAAGTATGTTATAGAATCCAAAGATAGAAGAACTTACATACAGCTGATGTCCAATTGTATTGGAAATAAAATGTTTCCATAATAAACTTGCATTATTATTTAACGGTCTTCTTCTTTACCATAGTAGTAATTAACGATTTGCCAACGCTGTAGTGGCTGGTACACAGGGCGCAAAACAACCAGGGCCCCAGGGACAGTTTTCCATTATACGTTACCATAATGGTAACGTATAATGGAAACGATCGTCATATTTTTTATATTAGTCTTATAAAACTGACACGGGCCCAAGCCTAGTGGCTGCCATCAAGAAAATAATAATAATTTATATTAATAATATTAATTTAAAAATACACCTGTACCAGTGTAGGTATAGTATGAAAAATGGAATATATTTTTAATATTAAAACAGCCACATGGTTTTTAAATGTCGATTAGGTAGGACCACACCCCTCGTTGAGTAGCGTCAGTTAATAAGGTTAACAATTCACGGAGCGGTTTCCATCCGCGCCCGCTGGTGCTGCTAGACAGCCGTTTTATTTCAATAGTCACAACCCAGCAAATTTGTGCGGACACGTAGCCGCCGCGGTTGCGGACACGTAGCCGCCGCGGTTGC